TATATGCTTCCATTAGGTAAAGTTATTAAGCAGCATTTTCATTGTTATACTGATGATACACAGTTATATTTGTCCATGAAACCCAATGAATCCAATCAGTTACTTAGACTACAAGCATGTCTTAAAGACATAAAAACCTGGATGACCCTTAATTTTCTGCTTTTGAATACAGACAAGACTGAGATTTTAGTTTTTGGACCTGAGCATCTTAGGAATAAATTTTTCAGTCTGTCACTTTCTCTGGATGGCATTAAACTGGCCTCTAATTCTAATGTTAAAAACCTTGGTGTTATTTTTGATCAGGACGTCTTTTAACCGCTATATTAAAATGTTACCAGAACCGCTTCTCCCCACCTGTGTAATGTCACTAAAATTGGAAACATCTTGTCCAAAAATGATGCAGAAAAACTGGTCCATGCATTTATCACATCTAGGCTGGACTATTGCAATGGTTTACTATCCACAAACTTCTTTAAAAAGTCTTCAGTTAATCCAAAATGCTGCTGTCAGAGTTTAAATGAGAGTTAATAGGAGATCATATCTCTCCAGTTTTAGCTTCTCTTCATTGGCTCCCAGTCAAATTCAGAACTGAATTCAAAATCTTACTTCTAACATGCAAAGCTCTCAACAACTTAGCTCCATCTTATACTACAGATCTTATTGTTCCATATTTTCCTAACAGAGCACTTCGCTCTCAGACTGCAGGTTTACTTGTGGTTCCTAGAGTTTCCAAAAGCGGAATGGGAGGAAGTTCTTTCAGTTATCAGGCTCCTCTCTTATGGAACCAACTTCCAGTTTCTGTCCATGAGGCTGACACATTGTCCAGTTTTAAGACTGGGCTTAAGACTTTCCTTCTTGATAAATCTTATAGTTAGAGTTGGCTTGGGTTTCCTGAGCTATCCCTTAGTTATGCTGCTATAGACTTAGACTGCTGGAGGACAAACTGACCACATTTCTTCACTTTGCTGCTGTCTTTACTTGCGCTACTCTACCTGTTTTTTTTTTCTTCTTCTTTTGGCTGCTCCCTTCTTCAGGGGTCACCACAGCGAACTAAGTAGCACGAAGACATGGCAATTATTTTTATGCCGGATGTCCTTCCTGACACAACCACAGACCACTGAGCTACCACAGCCCTGTGTGGAGCAGAGAGCTGCTATCTAGGGCACACGGGGGAGCAGATGGTGGAGGGTCAAGGGCCTTGCTCAAGGATCCAAAGTTGGGCAAATGAGGGTGGAGGAAGGTGTGGGTGCTTCATCTGTCCCACTCACATTTTGATATTGTCAGTACAGGGAGTTGAACCAGCGATCTTCTAATCACAGGCACACCTTCTCTAACCTCTGTGTCACCACTCCCATTACTCTGTTTGTATTTGTAATTATTTATATCTTAACATGTTTTTTTGTGTGTGTCTTTCCTCCTATAGAAAGTACATCAGGACCTGTCATTCTGTCGGTTTCTACTTCCTGTCCTCTCAAACCCAGTCATTCGAAGCAGATGGCTGCTCGTCCTGAGCCTGGTTCTGCTGGAGGTTTCTTCCTGTTAAAGGGAGTTTTTCCTTTCCACGGTTTCCTTTGTGCTTGCTCAGGATGGGAGACTGTGACAAAGTGACAATTCAACACAATCTGCTGCTTCCTTAGATAACTTTTACTTGGCCTTTTTTTAAATGTACAGTATGTGAATGTTTCTGTTCAGTGTCCTTAGACAAGTTATGTTGTGAATTGGCTCTATATAAATAAACTGAATTAAATTGAATTAAGGCCCCACCACAGTATCTCGATCAAGTTAGGATCTGGACACTGATGCAACACTGATTCTTTTCTCTTTTTAGCCGTTCTGTTGTTGATTCTGTCTGCCACCTACGGCCCTTTTTAACTGTACGGCCCGGTCCAGGTTTTCTTTCCTCCTCAGAGCCTTGTTGGTTTTGCATGTGGGTGGGATCATCATTGCAAGAATGCTCAAGGCTCATGTGATGTAATTTTTGTGACACCCAACAATGAATAACATGGAGCTAATGCAATGTCCTGTTCATTGTTCTCTCATCAAAAACAAAGTAAAACAGAGTCAGAGAGGATAGCGTGCTGCTAAAAGAAAGACATGTGAGTGTATGAAACCATGCACAGTATCATGCCAAAGGCAGGACAGACATCAAATCTGCAGCACAAGTCCGCCCACAACGAACCCCAAGTCTTTGGGTTTCAAACATCAAGCTGAAAGTGGGCTGGGCTGTCCAATATCAAAAACTAGGCCAGAACCTGGGCTGGGCAAAGCAGGACCAGGCCAGGCCCTACAAAGAAAAAGGGTCTTTAGGTGGCCTCACATTCAACTCTAGAGGAGTTCAGGTCTGACTGTAGGGTGCCCAGGTCCTGTGACTGCAAAACAAGCCCAAACCATCAGCCCTCCACCATCATGCTTGACTGTTGATATGAGGCGTTTGTGTTGATATGCTGCATCTACCACCAAACAGACCTTGTGCATTATGGGTAAACATCTCTACTCTGGTCTCCTCTATCCAGAGGACACAGTTCCAGAAGTCCTGAGGAAACATTACAAATCTACATTGTGCTGCCATGTTCTTTTCAGAGGAGATTTTCTCATACAACCTTTCCTAATGGGTCAATATATTTTGTACACATACATTTTTTACTTTATATTTTAGAAGAATTTTCTCATGTAACTTCATTAATTATGGAGTTAGGGTTAATTTCTGGGCTGTAAGAAAACAAAACAGAAAACTTACTGAGGTGAATACTTCAGCAGAACTTTAAAAGTTGGATGCACCCACACAAAGAGTTTGAGTCACATCTGAAAGTTTATTTTTTATTTATCTTTTCTTCTTAAATACGATCTTTGAAACATTTCCTCTTTGAAAAGCCCTGTTTTATTTGTAACGTGTAACCCTATTTTAAAATGTAAAATCTTTTTATTCTACAACAACAAACAAAACAAACGAGAAATGAGTTCATTGCTCCGTCTGACAAAGTTACATGTTACGTTGCAACAATTAAAACACAGTTCCCTCATTTTGCTTTCCTCTACTTAATTTTTGTTTTATCTCTAAAACAACAAGAACAAATGGGGCAGAACAACACACAACTCAAGCCGAGCCTCCATTTACATCCTACAGAGCCAACACACACAATTCAAATGGAAGCAGCTTCTAATCAGAGAGGCAGCGTAAACTGCTGCTGAGACCCATCTCACAGCTTTCTGTCGAGGTTTCTCAGCTTTCTTCTCTATTTTCAGAAGCTCCATGAAGGACTGCCTTGGTGCTCTGACGCACTCTGACGCACGGCTAAAAATATGTCTGATTACCAATGTCACAAACGATTAGGATAATAACCTTACGCAGAACTTTACAACTATTTTTACCTGGGTTCATTCTGTTTCAGGATTACTGACATCTGGTATCGTTAAGACCTGATCCACATAAATTAGGTTTTTAAAAAGAAATGTGAGCCATCACATCAAACCGAGGATAAGGTTGGATTACATTCCTCTCTTTTGAAGCTACGTTTTGAAACACAGATCATCCTGATATCACGAGTGCTTTATATGGCTTGATTTGTCGTGCTCCTCAGAATAACCCCTGGAAAGTCGTGTGAATCTTATTTTTTCAATTTTCAACTGAAGATTCCTTGATCTCATTTAAGAAAAACCCTCAAACTATATTTAGATACCAGGATTTACCAGCTGGTATTGAAAGTAGCTTTGCTAGCGCAGAGAAAGTAGTTTTTGGTAATGCTCAGAAGTCTTTAAAACAGTTTTTAGGATCATACAGTACTTTGGACATTTCACTGAATGACTGTTTTGCTAAACAGCAGAGGGAGTGGAGGGAGTCCAGATAGGTGGCCTCAGGATTCCATCTCTGCTATTTTCAGATGATGTGGTCCTGCTGGCGTCATCGTGCCGTGATCTTCAGCTCTCACTGGAGTGGTTCACAGCTGAGTGTGAAGCAGCTGGGATGAGAATAAGCACCTCTAAATCTGAGGTCATGGTCCTCAGTCAGAAAAGGGTGGATTGTTCTCTTCAGTTCGAGGGTGAGGTTCTGCCTCAAGTGGAGAAGTTCAAGTATCTCGGAGTTTTGTTCACGAGTGAGGGAAGAATGGAGTGTGAAATTGACAGATTTATTGGTGCAGCATCTGCAGTATTGTGGACTCTGTGCCGGTCCATTGTGGTGAAGAGGGAGCTGAGCTGTAAGGCAAAGCTCTCAGTTTACTGGTCAAGTCTCTGTTCCTACCCTCACCTATGGTCATGAACTTTGGGTAGTGACTGAAAGAATGAGATCGTGGATACAGGAGTTGAAATGAGTTTCCTCTGCAGGGTAGTTGGAGTTATCAGGAGAGACTTGGAGTAGAACCACTGCTCCTCCACATCGAGAGGAGCCAGTTGAGGTGGTTCGGGCATCTGGTAAGGATGCTCACTTGGTGCCTTCCTAGGGAGGTGCTTCGGACATGTCTGACTAGCAGGAGACCTCGGGGAAGATCCAAGATTCAACTCCTCGGGGTCCTCCCAGAAGAGCTAGAAGAGGTGGCTTTGGAAAGAGATGTCTGGACCTCCCTGCTCAAGATGCTGCCCCTGAGACTTGACTGATGGATGGAGTGTTTTGCCAAATATCTGACTATAAATCTGAACAAGAGTAGAGTTAGGTGTGGGTGCTTCACCTTTCCCCCCTGAGTTTTGTTGTAACAGTCAGGAATCTAACTGCAGACATCCTGATCACAGGCTGCCCTCTCTCACCCCTGTGAGACCACTCCACTTCCTCACACTATATTACAGCACTGACACCAGTAAGTGTGTCCTTGCACCCCATGAATTGAACCCCAGATCTTCCTGTTGGAGGACGGCCCCTGACCCACTGGACCAGCCACCACTAATAAAATCGTAACTCTTCCGTTCATCTTACTTCAGTTCACTCCTGAAATGTGCACCTTCAGGTAAACCCCTCCAGGTTTCTGGTGTTTCAGAGTTAAAACTAGTAGAAGAACAAATGATGTGCTTACAATGAACTGCTCCACGTCCCGCTCCATGCCCACGTTGGGCAGGTCTGGCATCATGTGGGCGACCACTTTGAAGCCAGCGTCCTTGGCCAGGTGGAAGGACTCGCACACTGCTCGCACTGTGTGACCTCTGGAGGAGAACACATCTGCTCAGATCGTACCACGGTGGTTAACGCATCTATTATTTTACTGACACGTTCTCACGTCGTGGCTGTTTTCTGCTGAAAGTTGTCTGAGACTTACTGACCTGTTGGTGTCACGGGCCACGTCTTCATAAACGCTCTGCACGCCGATCTCCAGCCGCGTGCAGCCGTAGCTCAGCATGTCGCTCAGGTGGCGCTTCAGGCAGTAGTCCGGACGCGTCTCTATGGTGATTCCCACACACTTGGTGCCGCTGCGCTCCGAGTACCTGCAGGAGCACAACGCTCACTTCGCTTGACGTCATTTCAGCACATCAAGTCCCGGAGAACATGATTCTTCCTTCCCCACAGTAATGGCTTTTTAATTTTACCATGTGGCATCACTGAGATTAAATATCTGAGGGGTTTAAGTGAACAGGAAATATTACTGGCATCATTTAGCAACATCGATTTACACGCTGTAAATTGAAATGGCTCATTGTGCAAACAGTTATCACTAACCTCGCATTAAGAACACATTAATGCAATAAAGATGAAAAGACCCACGCTGACTTTAAAGAGAGACTTTAACAAAGTTTAATGTTTTAAGTCATTTTGATGCATTGTTGTGAATTAACAAGTTTTGTCTAATCAAATAAGATTTCAAGCTGTTAGTGGTTTTACTTTAGTACATGTTGTAAATCTCATATCTGAACCCTTTACTGCAGAGCTATTCAACTGGTGGTCCGGGGACCAAATTAGGCCCACAGGTGAGCTCAGTTCGGTCCACCAATGGGTTCATATTGAAATAAAACTAGATTTTAAATCGTAAAACAAAGTTAATGATAATAATGACAATAACTGCTTGATGTCTGGCCCCTGAGCTCTTGGCTCTCAGTACCTGTGGCCCCTGAGCAGTTTAGTTGAATAGTCCTGGTTTACAGGGCAGGAATAAAACCAGCTGAAATGTTAATAACATCTGAAAGGTGCATGGGGTTTGATTACACATACTAAACTGCTAATAAGCCCTCTCGTTACATTTCATTAAGGTGCCAGTCAGTAATACTGCACTCTTTCTGAGGCTTTTTAAAAAACGTGTACAAATACATGCCCTTAATTCTGACAGTAGATGTGGACAAAAACGGAATAATTTTTTGCAGACAAGCTTGGTATTTAGACCACCGAGTAAATGAATAAGAAAACCCCACCTCTGCAGAGCTCTATAATTCAACACAGTTCAGTCGAAATATCACTCAGAATTTAAACGAGTTGTGAGAAGTTGGATTTTATGTTTAATTTAAGGATCTCCGTTAGTCCTTATCGTAGTAGAGACTATTCTTCCTAGGGCTCCTCTGTCAATACACAAATTACAAAATTACCATCATTACAACTGAAAATCTCAGAGCAGGTTAGCCCATCAGTGGGAGCTCAGTAACATGGCTGCAGCATCACACACTGGACATGAGGAAATGTGTTTCCATGAGGTTTTCAAACATAAAGCTCTCTTGTGAAAGTGTACCCCTATGAAAAGAAAATTCATAACATTTATATTAAAGTTCATACATTTGATATTTATATACTGGTTGAAAATAACCCTGTGAGAAATTCATAGTAAAGTTAACAAAAAGTAAAAAGTTCATGGAGTTAAAATTCAAATAGAAGTTCAAATTATTTCATCCAGAAAGTAAGTAAGTAAGTAAAGTTTATTTATAAAGCGCTTATCACAGACATAAAATCACAAAGCGCTGTACAAAAAAAAATCAATGCTAAAATATACAAAAAATAAAACAAGCCTAAGAACTACAAGAAAGAACTCTGGCTAACTACTTTAGCTCATTCATAACGTGACTTTTTTAAAACCCTGCCTCTAAAAAGAATTGGAATCGGGAATTGAAACAAGGAATCGGAACCGGAATCATTCAAATTCAAACGATGCCCAACCCTAATCAAAACATATACATTGTGGTTCTGTTCCACCCAATGTGTGTGTCATCGTTATAGGACTGTGGTCTTCTCTCAAACCCCTGCAGAGTACAGAGTGAACACACCCAGACCTCCACTGACTCGCACTATATCTGAGTGCAGCATTTTCTATCCTTAACTGGAAGTGAAGTGTATTTTGAACTCACCATATCTTGTAGAACCATAAACACTGACTATGTGACTACCAGACGCCTCTGACGTGAACGGATCAGGAATTCTTTAATATAACCGACATGTCAGTAAGCTATAACTTATACTCTGCCTGTCTTGTTAAGAGTGAGACAGGGTGTCGCTGTCATGGTGACACTAATGAGTCACTTGGTTTAACATTTGTTTTGATTATGATTCTCTTTAATATATAGTTTATACATCAAGACGTGGACAATTTGTCAAGATGATATTTTTATACTTTGTAAATTCCAACAAATTATTGTAAGAAAAGTTGGTAAATTTAAAATTTCAGGCGAAAGCTTGGACACCCTTTATTATTTCTTTAGCAATGTTCTAGTGCACGTTTCAAACTAAAAGCTCAAGGGCCAAAATGGCCCTTTTTAGCATCTTATCTGGCCCTCAAGATGCTATTTTAAATGCTAAACATGTATTGCATATAAATGTAAACCTAGCATATTTTATTTAGTGCAGAATTCAGTTAGTCAACATTTCTAAAACAATCTGTTTGTATCTTCCAGTAATCTTTGAAGTGATGTGGAAATGTGGAAATGATGTGGATACCAAGATGGCTGCGCTTAGAGCAGTTGCAGCTTCACTAGCTCCCGGTACTATCCTAGTTTTTAGAAGTTTTGATATTGACTCTGTGCCCGACTCCGCACGATTTATGCGTGTGAACTATAGCCGAACCAAATTGATGAGAATAGGAGCAGATTTGCCACGAAATATGGCAGAAATCAGCAACAAACTCAAAACTACGCTCGGCAGAATACAGATCTTAAAAAGTTATCTACCTGGAAGCTGCAGCAGAGGCGTTCCAGTGGGCAGAAGAGGAAGCGCTGCTCCCGGCTTAAGAGGAGAGGACGCCGGGCGTCCTGATGCTGTCTCTCTTTCTGTCGAATGTCCGTTCGTTGGACAACAAGATGGATTTGCTTTGTCTGAGAGCAGGCGCCTCAGAAGAGATGATGAAGTGTGCAGTGCTTTGCCTCACAGAAATGTGGATTACAAGCGAAACGCCGGATACAGTCTTCCAGCTGGATGACAGACTTTTTTTCGAGCAAACCGCTGCAGCGAGCTAACGGGGAAATGACGGGGAGGCGGAGTATGCATTTACGTGAGTAAAAGTTGGTGCACAAACTGTACTGTAGTAAAAAGCTCATGCTTGAAGGCTTTGGAGCAACTAACAGTAAAATGTCTGCCACATTATCTACCCCGCGAGTTTACAGTGACTTTCATCACAGTTATTTACATTCCTCCAGATGTTAATCTTAATGACGCCTTGCAAGAACTTCATGATATAATCAGTTCGCTGCAGAACAAACACCCTGAGGCTCTCTATGTGGTAGCCGGAGACTTTAATTGCGTGAATCTAAAGGACCGTCTCCCAAGCTTCTACCAGCATGTGGGCATACAAACATGTGGAGACCACACGCTGGACCGTGTTTATACGAATGTAAAAGATGCATACAAAGCTGAACCCCGCCCCCACCTAAGACTGTCAGACCACATCTCAATCTTCCTGGCTCCTGCTTACATGCCCCCGCTGAGACGTTCCAGATTGGTGCAAAAGAAAGTTAAATGTTGGATCCAGGACAGTGGACCCATACTGAGAGATTGTTTTGATCGAACAGACTGGCAGGTTTTCAGAGAAGCTGCTGAAAATGGAAGATTGCTTGATATGGACCAATACGCATCCTCAATTCTGGGTTACATTAGTACATATACTGACACCGTCTCCACCATCAGATATGTAAAAAGCTACCCAAACAGAAAACCTTGGCTGAATGCAGAGGTGCACACCCTACTGGAAGCCAGGAACACTGCCTTCAGGTCTGGAAACTCACAGGAGCTGAGTAGGACAAGAAAAGAGCTGGTTGCTGGTATTAAGAAGGCCAAGGCCACATATGCACAGAGGATTGAGGGTCAATTCATCTCACAAGACCCTCGGAGCATGTGGAGGGGCATTAAGTGCATAACAGATTATAAAGGAAGGAGCGAACAATGTCCCAAAGACCCATCTCTGCCTGATGCCCTCAACAAGTTCTATGCATGCTTTGAAGACCCGAACAGACCACCCAGCACCAGACTCACCTCACCACCGGATGAAGAGCATCTCAGCATGACCTCTCAGCAGAAGTAAAGAGTACTTTCAGGAGGATTAATTCGCACAAGGCAACCGGTCCAGACAACATCCCCGGAAAAGTGTTGAAAGAATGTGCCGATCAGCTCTGCGAGGTGCTGGCAGACATCTTTAACACCTCACTTACCCTGGAGACAGTTCTCACCTGCCTGAAGACTGCCACCATCATCCCAGTCCCAAAAAGCTCTACAGTGATTGGTCTGAATGACTATCGGCCAGAGGCCCTCACCCCGATAGTCGCTAAATGCTTTGAAAAACTGGTCATGACTCACATAAAACAACCATCAACATCAACGAGGACCCTCATCAGTATGCATACCGTGAGAATCGATCAACAGAGGATGCCATCTCCTCTGTGGTCCACACTGCGCTCAACCACCTGGAGCAGAAAAACTCTTACGTCCGTATGCTCTTTGTGGATTTCACATCTGCCTTCAACACCAAGATCCCCCAAACCCTGATGGACAAACTATTCACACTAGGACTAAGCCCCTCCATTTGCAACTGGGTACTAGACTTCTTAAAAAACAGACCACAGTTAGTGAGGATCCACAACTTCTCCTCCTCCACCATAACCCTCAGCACTGGCTCTCCTCAGGGATGTGTGTTGAGCCCCCTCCTGTTTACTCTGCTCACGTATGATTATGCAGCTACACATCCAGGCTGTCACATTGTAAAGTTTGCAGATGATACAGCGGTGGTGGGATGCATCACAAACAATGATGAGTCCAGCTACAGGCAGGAGGTGGAACACCTGGAGAGCTGGTGCAAAGAGAATAACCTTCACATCAATGTGAAGAAGACAAAGGAGATGATTTTGGATTTCAGAAGGAACAAACACATCTACACCCCCCTGAACATAAGAGGATCTGCAGTGGAAGTGGTCTCCAGCTACAAGCACTTGGGTGTACACATGAATGACAACCTCAGCTGGAGCAACAACACCACCAGCCTGATCAAGAAAGCTCATCAGAGGCTCTACTTCCTCAGGCGGCTGAG